GAGTCATTTATCATGTTTTCTTGTTGTTTATGTGTGTGCTTGTTGGAGATCGTGTTGTAGCTAGAGGTTTCTCTCCCACCCACCAGTTCCCAAATAACCACTCCGAGGCTTAGTACTAATTGCAAACTGTTAGGCCTATTAGCTCAGGATTATTATTAACTAACTCTTACAAGTTAAATTAATCCATTTCTATTATTTTATATTTTACCACGAAGCTCGTGGCTTGTTACCTCACATCTTGCTTCTCTGGCAGCTTCTGGCATCTCCCAGACTCTACCTTGTTTTTCCCTTTATCTTTGCTTGGATTTCTTACCTGACTCTATTCTGCCTGGCTATTGGTCAAATCAGCTTTTTTATTAATCAATGGTAATAAAACATATTCACAGAAGGGCATCCCACATCATTGTGTCTTACTATGCAGCCCTGGCAGACCTGAAACTCATCATGTAGACCATATTGGCCTCAATCTCATGAGTTGCCCTGCCCCTGCCTCTTGAGTGCTGGATTTAAGGTGCGCACCGCCATCCTGAGAAGACAGGGTCTCTCATTGGCCTGAGATCACAGTGTTTCTTGAGACAGGGTCTCTCATTGGCCTGAACTCTCCAAGCAGACTAGGCTGCTTTGCAGTGAGTCCCATCTCTGCCTCCTCAGCACTGGATTACAATCATGTGCTACCACATGTGGCCTTTTTACACGGGTCCTGGGGTCTTAACTTGTGTCCTCGTGTTTGCACAAATAATGGCTGAGCTGTCTCATATCTTGATTTTCATCATGAGCCCCACAGCTTTCCGCTGAACTGCCTTGTACTGGGCATCCTATCTTGGAAGTCTGAAAGCCTCCAAGGTATCCAAACCAAATGCTAAGGCAGCTCTCTCTTCCAGATTCCTGCCCAAAGCCCTGCGCTCATCCTTGAGTCCTCAGTTTCCCTTACAGCTCCCTCCCTCAATCCTGTTGGCTCTACTTAAACCAGTTATTTTTATTTATGTGTCGTGTGTGAATGTCTGCATGAGCTGTGTTTACGCAGATGCCTGCAGAGGCCAGAAGAGGACTTTGGATTATCCTACAGTCATAGGCCATTGTGAGCTACCTGAGGTGGGTTCTGGGAACTGAACCCAGGTCCTCCGAAGGAGGACCACATGCTCTCAACCTTTCAGCCAGCAAGCTGTCTCTCCAGCACCTTCTGTCATGTCTCCAAGCCTTCTCTCTGGTTTGGAAACTTGCTGGACTTCTGTCCCCTTTCCCTTGTAGAGAGCCCTGCTATGGACAGGCTGGGGCACCTTTCACCCCCGCATGCATGATTGATGGCAGGAATCTCTTTAAGAAATATTTATTGGCAAAGCCAAGTAGAACAGTTTTCAGACAGAGGTTCCAGTGCCTTCTTCAGATTGGACATTCTTCTCTTCAGCTCAGGTGGACTGTGTCTCCCTGCCATGTGACATTTTTCTGGGGGAGACCCTATCAACCTTCTAGTCACCTCAGATAGGGCACCAATGGCAGGCTAAAGAATTGATTCCAGGAACTGGAGAGATGGCTCAGCCGTTGAAACCACTGGACCCTGGTTCACTTCCCAGCACCCACATGGCAGCTCACAACTGTTCATAACTCCAAGATGTGACACCCTCACACAGACATACGTGCAGGAAAAAACACTGATGCACATTAAAAGAAATCTTACCAAAAAAAAAAGGAAAAGGAAAAAGAGAAAGAAAGAAATGCCTCCACTCAGGACTAGTGTGGTAAAGTGGTGAGCTTACTGGGGTAACACACAGATGGTGAGTCAAAGGTGATGGGCTCACTGTAAAGCCCACCCTAGCTTGGATGAGGATGTGTAAAGAGTCACCCTTAAAAACCCCTGAAGGACATGCAGGCAGCTCCACCGGAGCCTCGTCTCCATCCACAGGTCTGTTTCCTGATTAGGGAAGCCTCAAAGAGGCCTTGCAGATTGTAACTTCCTGAGCCTTGCAAGTTTCCTTAGCTTCTTGAGTCCTCAGGCCCTCCCTCTCCTTCCAATAGGGAATTTTTCAGTTTAGAGGAGATAGCTACAGGACACTCTCCCCAATACCTATGAAGCGTTCCACCTCCTTGTGACTGGCGTGGGGGGATGTGAGCAGTGAGTGTCCACATTAAACTCTGCTCAGTTCCATTTCCTGTGAATGCTAATAAATACAACCACAGAAAAGAAACCCTCAATGGCCGAGCATGGGGGTGCACCCCTTTTATCCCAGCACATAGAAGCAGAGGCAGGTGGATTTCTGTGAGTTTGAGGTCAGCATGGGCTGCAGAGGACAGTCAGGGTTATACAGAGAAACCCTGTCTCAGAAAAAAAGAAACCCCAAGAACCCTGTACTGTCCTGTGGTTACTGGGAGGATAGCAACCTTGTGGCCCACACTGGCGTCTAGATCCCTGCATCCCTGACTGATGTCAGCCCAGTATGGTCTGTAGCCATCACTACCTCCTTGGACAGGTGACCTTCCCGTTTCTTATTGATGCGGTTGGACCTGGTTGGGGACCTTCTGCATGGAACCCAGGTGAAGCTCCTGCTTTCACAGACAGCAGGAGAGCGCTCTTAGACCAAGAGCCTCTGTGACCAGCAGCACACGTTAGAGAGGGCCATGTAGAGAATGACCGTGGCTCATGTAGAGAATTCTAGCTCAGGTGCTTTGGCAGGCAAGCATTGGTGCCACTGGCTTGACTTCTGCTGCTTCTGTTTATCCCGGAACCCATGGTCGCCCCCAGCTGTAGAGAGGCAAAGAGACTTGCTCAGATCCTCACATCAGGGAACTGCAGAGCCCAGATTTGAAGAACCCTGTCACCCTGATGCTCAGGGACTTAGGTTATGAACTTGGGAGGGGACTGAATAAACCTCATTGGCCTCACCCACCCAGGCTAGTCTTGGTTTGAGTTTCATGGGGAAAAATGGAGCTGAGCAAGGCCAGCCCTGGAGCCTGACCATCCTGAAATTTAGCATTCTTGTGCTGATAAAGTGCACATGTGTGCATGCCCCACCTTCCAAGTGAGGCGTGGTGTGGGGGCTCACAGACTCCTGACAGTGCCGGCTCCAATCCTGGTCCTCTTTCCCCTGCACACCCTGCACAGTCACCTCAGAAGCCCCTCCCTCACACCCACCTTTGCACAGACTCTTGACACTGGGACAGCCAGGGTTCAGGGGTGGGACAAAGCCTGGAACTCTGCCCAGACAGAACAGGTCTCAGAAGCTCCATGCTCCAGAGAAAGTCTGCCACTGCACCCTGTGAGTCACCAGGGTCTCGGGAGGTTTTGTGAAGGTTCTGAGTAGGGTAAGTGAGATGCCCAGCCAGGACGAGGCCCACACAGCTGCCCCTGGAAGTTGAGGGTAGAGAGAGGCTCAGGCCAGCCCTTTAGTACAAAGTTTTTTGCTGGGCCTTACATGTCCGAGCCTTCCCCTGTCAGGTGGACAATACTTCCATACTAGCTGCAAAGAACAGAAGGAGGGCTTCTCACCCCATGAGAGAGGAAGAGAGAAAGGAGGGGGGAAGGTCCAGAGGCGGAGAGTACCATTCTACAGGTCAGTACTTGGAGCAGGGTGTGGCATACCTCGTTTCTGGCGGAACCTGGCTGCTTGGGCTAGCTTTGAGTCAGCATGCCCTTTCTGTCTGGCAACCCCAGGCCAGGGAGGGGACATTAGTGCCTACGTGTGCAACAGAAGCCAGCCAGAAAAGCGCCTGTTTCAAGTGAGTCTGTAGTACGAAGAGGGCAACCCTTCTGTAAACCCCACCACGGTCGGTCATTTGTGGTAGAGGGAGAGGCCCTAGTGCTGGATGATGGCCTGGCTCGGAGCCCAGGAATGGAGACACGGATGACAAAAAGGAGCGATGACGCTTGAGACGAAGCCACACCAACTGCTGGTGTCAGGAATCTCAGGTCTGGGAGAGGAGCTGGATTGTGGAGTCCTGACTCACTGATGAGAGTATCTGGCAGGCCCCCAGGCAGGATAAGTGATCTAGGTGGGAGGCTCTGAGGCTCAAGAATCTGGAGAGGAGGAGTTTGGAGAGGAGGGAGTGCAGAGAAGGGAGTTTCTCATCTTTCCCCCTCCCAGGCTCTGTCTACAGTGGAGTTTTGATCACCCCAGTTCGTGGAAAGGAAACACGGGAGGCCTTCCTAGGGCATCAGGACACCAGCTGAGTGCCAAACAAGGATCCCACACACACACACACACACTGTGGGTTGGGGGTACACGAACATCAGGTACCTGGCTCACTAAGGCCCAATCTCACTTTTCCAGCTGTTTTACATGTCATGTCCGAAGCCACAGAGGCCTGGTAGTGCCAGAAGAGAAGGGGCTGAGGTGAGCCATGCTAACCCCTGCCAGACTCTAACTGCCTTCACCATCAGGGGTGGAGTTCACTAGAGCACCCTTATCCAGGCAGCCTCATGGCAGCCTCACTGAGAGGCCAGCACCTGCTTGCTATCACCCCTACCTTAACAACCCGCACGCCCCCACCCCCGCCCTCCAACCCTCCAGAAGTGAGAAGTCTCCCAGAGAAAGGGAGGGGAGCCTCTCCTGACAAAAATTTAGATATTACGCTCCCTAAACCTCGCAATGTGACCATGCATGCACCCATTTCTCAGAAGACAACCCGGACTGCCCGGCCAGAATGCCGCTTAAGCAGTGATTCTTGTCCCCGCTAAGACCGGGTTCTGATTCTTTCCCGCATCACCCACAACCCCAGAGAGGCGAGGCGCCCACAGGCAGGGCGTGGGGCCGGCAGCCTGCCGTAATGACAGGGCCTGTGGGTGGCGGCGGTGGAGGAAGCAGGAGGAATCTGACTATTTCTGGCCCGGGCGCACCCAGCTGGCTAGAGCCCTGGCCAGGCTTGGCCAGGCTTCCCGGCCCCCCGCTTTGCGTCCTTTCCCGGTCCCCTGGAGGGGCGGGGAGAAGCGCCGGTTGGCGGGCTCGGGGGGCGGGGCGGGGCAGTGGACCCACCCCCACGGCCTCCTCCCACCGCAGTCCAGTCGGGTCCCTGCACCGGCCTGCGCTTGGGACCCCAAGTCGTTCGGTTGCTGCTCACGTGAGTCACGCCGCGTCCCCTTCGCCGCGGCCCCGACGGGCATGGACTCAGGTCGGGACTTCCTGACCCTGCACGGTGAGTGTCCCGCCCGCAGTGGGGACCCTCGGGAAAGCCTATCCCTCTCCGGTGACAGGGGTAGTAGCTCCTTCTGCTGCATTTGTAGCACCAGACAGACTAACGTCTTGGCCTCTTTCGGATCTCGGAAAACTTCAGCTCAGGCTGGGCACAACCTTGAGCGTTTCCAGACTTTCCCCCAAATCTGGCCCAAGAGATCGGGGAGTAGTGCAGACTTCTCTTGGGGGTTCCCCTTATCCTGTTCATAAAAGGTCGGCTCCTCGGTCCAGATGGCATCGAAGGAGTCGGGGAAGGAAGAGCAGCATCCTTGGACCACCGAGTTCTCCCTGCCCCTTCAGAGGCTTCCCAAAACGCGGGAGTGCCGGACCGCGTCAGGCCGCGCGGGCGTGGCAGATGTGGGTGTAAGGGGGTGGGGCGAGGAGGAGGTGTGCAAGTTTGGCTGAGGTCGGCCTGGCAGCCTTCACTGCCTAGAACGGAAAACTACGATGCCAGGGCTGGGAGCACCAGCGCGATCCTATTTGCTGACGCTCCTGGTCGGAGTGGGTCAGGTCTCAGCGAGGACTGCCTTGAGGCTTGGTCCTTTGTCCAGCCGGCTTTGTTTCTTCCCATCTGGGCTAGCTTCCTCTCCCTCTTCTCTCACTCTAGCAGAGAAGAAAGCCCATGTTCCTGCTGCAAATCTTAGAAGCCTCCAGAGAAGGGTATTCACTCATACTTCGGGGAGGGTTTTTTGGGGGGGCTTTCCTTCGTGTCTCCTCCTCAGCAAACCCTGCCCCTCTCACACCAATCCGCTTCTTAACAGTACTTCTCAATTTACTCTAGTATCCTTGAGATTGTAGGATTTTTAAAATTAAATTGCATGTAGTGTGTGCGTGAGAGAGAGAGAGAGAGAGAGAGAGAATATAACTTGCAGAATCTGTTCTCCCCTTCCACCACGTGGATTCTAGGGCTCATACCCAGGTCACTGGGCTTGGCAGCAATCTCCTTCGCCCCGAGACGTCTTGCGGACTAGGTTGTCGATTTTTGTGCTCACAAGTCATTCACCTCACTCCCCCTGGATATGTGCCGTGCAGCCAGTCCCCAGTCTATTTTGTGTTTGTTAGTTGGCCTAGACCTTGTGGCCAGAGCCCAGTAAACTAGGGTTCCTCAAGATCACCTTGCCAGGCTGGGTTCGTGCCCCTCCCCCTGCTCCCCCATTCTCCAGAGGCCAGAGGTAACGTTTTAACTCTTGACAGAATGGTGGGAACAGGGGGCTGGCAGCTCGGAGGCCCCCAGACTGCACCTCTTCCCTGCCTGCCTCCAAGACCTCTGGTTGCTTCTGACACCACACAGCCTCCGGTTGTGTTGTAACAGGCCCGAGCCTCATTGTCTGCGCCCTCGTCCCATTTCTTTCCTGGGTCAGCCCTGGTGTTTTCCCCATAGGGAAAGACACAGCGCCTTAGTCTAAACGCATGGGCTTGGCCAGCCTGGTCTGTCCTGTTTGAGACCAGCCCCCTGAACGTGTGACTCAGCCGGGCCCTTCCTGCCGGACTGGAATGTACGCTGTGGCCAAGCTGATGGACCTGTGGGCCCACCGCCGCTAGCATGTCCTCCACAGTGAGCTCCATCAAGCACATTCTGTCTACACGGCAAACCAGATAGGGAAGTAAGAGTGGCCAAGGGGAACTAGGGGGGCAGTGTGGTCACTGTGGCGTGCGCTTGTTAGCGGTACTTCTGATGGGGGGGGGTCTGGACCCATTTCCACAGTGCAGGTCCCCCAGCACTGCTCACATGCTGCCTAACCACACTGTCTGGCTTGGGCAGTTGGGGTCTGCTGTGGGGATGTCCCTAGTCCCTCCCATTGGCCAGAGACCAATGGACTAACCTAGAGATGAGGTGGGTCCATACTTCCTACTCATGCAGAGGCATAAATTATAAAGGCAGACTCCAGACACTTTTTCCCCCCAGTCTGACTTCTGTGAGCCTCAGTTTCTTCATCTGCAAAGTGAGAGGAAACACCGCCTACTTCACAGGGGTGCTGTGGGGGTGGGGCGAGATAACATCAGACAGGTAAAACATCCAATCCTAATCTCACAGGAGCCACCTCCCCACCCCCACCCACAAGCCAGGAGGTGTCTGGCAGGGGTGGGTAGATGATGGAACACTACCAAGGGCAAGTGTGGCTGGAATCAGATGCATGAACCAAGGGGCTCTTTCTACATCCAAGGCCCAGCAGTTCCGATCTTCTCCTCCAGCCCCATATCCTCCACTCTTAGTTTAGCTAAGCCTGGACTGGCATCCTCAGCAGCTCCCAAAATTGTGCCTGAAAAGATATCACCTCCCGGGCCCTTCCCTTCCCTGAAGATGTTCACCCACATTGACTTTCCCTACACCTGGCCCCTGCTCTGTGGCAAGAACTGGCATTCTCTAAGAGGGGAAGGAGAAGGCCTTAGCCCTGAGAACACAGGCTCCAATCCTAGCCTTGTTATTTACTGTATAGCCTTTTGCCTTTCTGAGCTCGTTTCTCATCCAGGGAATTACAATATATTTTTTCCACTGAGGATGTTGCCAGGATGAATTGTGAGGGCTGGGGATTTAACTCAGTGGAGTGCTGGCCTGGCATGCCCCATTCCTGGGTTCAGGCCTTTTAAGCCTGGCATAGTGGCACGTGATTACAGTTCTAGCATTTGGAAGGCGACAGTCATTAGTTCAAGGCTATCCTCGGCTACACAGGCTGTTGGAGGACAGTCTAGGACACACAAGATCCTTTCTCAGACAAACAAAATTAGTGGGCTTAGGAACTCTGGGTTGCTTAAAAAGTCAGCGCCTCCAAGAAAAACCATCAGAGCAAAAAGGGGTCACCTGTTCCCGACTAACGGGAGTTATGTCTCACAGTTTGTCTGGCTCTGGGGTTCTGGGCCCATGATATACACACATTTACCCATGTTGGTCCCAGGCCATTTGGGGAGTCAGGAAATGTCTGTAGACCTTCTCAAAACTGCATTTCGTTGTTCCTGTGGGTTGTTTGCATTTGCTGTTGTTTGAGGAGTTTGTTTCTTTGTTTTTTGTTTTTGTTTTTGTTTTTTTGAGATAGGGTCTTACTTTTTAACCCAGGCTGGTCTGGGGCTCACTACGGAGCCCAGCCTGGCCTCAAACTCATAGCAATCCTCCTGCCTTGCACTCCTGAGTACTACATTTACAGATGTGAGCCACCATAACAAACGTAGGATTATGTTTTTAGATACATAACATCATGTGGTGAAGAATTCAAAGAAAACACACATATTGAGATGTGACCACATCAGGTCCCGGGAGGGGGGGTGTTGCTGTTCTGGTTAAGAGCCCCCAGGTGGTTTCTTTACAATCTGGGTAGGCTAGCCTGTATTCTACTCATCCCCACTCCAAATTCAAAGCTCTTCTGTGTCCACAGTTCAGTTCCTCGGCATTAACGTGCCTTGCTCAATATTCATTCTTCGGTGTGACCGTAGGCAACCCACTCGCTCTGTGCTTCAGGGTTTTTGTTTTTCCTGTGCTTGTCTGTGCCCCAAACTGGCTGTGCCCATGACTCACTGCTGCTACTGCAGTGAACCCTGTGGGGAACTCTTCAGGATGGAGGAGGGAGAAGCAGGGCTGAGTCAGGCCTCTGGGTGGTGCCCTGACCCTCCTGCAGCAGGGACTCAGTAATTGCGGAGTGAATGAAAGGGAAGTTGTACACTTGAAAGGCTCCAGTGTTCCCGAGCACTCTGGCAGCACAGTTCTGCACACAGTTTGCAGTCTTTCTAATTTATTCTAGGCAAGCCCGTGGACGCCTTTTGAGGTCAGCATTTTTTTTTTCCTTTTTAAGAACTGCGTTTGTAGCCGGGCAGTGGTGGCGCACGCCTTTAATCCCAGCCTGGAGGCAGAGGCAGGCGGATCTCTGTGAGTTCGAGGCCAGCCTGGTCTACAAGAAATAGTTCCAGGACAGGCTCCAAAACTACAGAGAAACCCTGTCTCAAAAACAAAACAAAAAAACTGTGTTTGTGCCGGGCAGTGACAGGACACACTTTTAATTTCAGCACTCTGGAGGCAGAGGCAGAGGCAGGCAGATCTCTGAATTCAAGGCCAGCCTGGTCTACAGAGTGAGTTCCAAGACAGTCAGGGCTACACAGAGAAACCCTGCCTTGAAAAATCCTAGACAACAACAAACCAAGCAAAAATAAAAGAAATAAACAAAAAACAACATAAAGAATTCCATTTGCATCTGTTACCTTGGGGATGTCCCTGATTAAATGGGAAACCAAGAAGAAAGCCAGAGAGCCAGTAGCATGCCTAGTCATAACAAATCAGTTGCGGAACTAAGGGTAAGAGATTTGGCGGGCTCGATTGAATAGCCCCCGCTCGCTGGCCTGACCATCTCCGCATTTCTGTTAAACTCGGCAGGCACCAGGATTCCCTCTACAGCGCAGCTTACTTAGTGTCTGCACTGGTGCCTGGACGATCTTGCAAAGCTGGCAGGGGAGTTCCCGGCCAGGCTGGAAAGCACACGGACGCCCAGTCCCCACCCTCACACACCCTCCCAAGTCGAAGTTTCTCCCTTCCATCCTGGGCTCCGCCTTTCCCGTGCTGAAGCTCCCTCTCCTGGGCTCCGCCTCTCTCTCCAGGGTGCTTCCTGGCTGTGATTCCTCCACGTCGCGTCCCAGACGGTGACGGCCAGCCTCTGAGCCTGGGTTATGCCTGGCAGGCTCTGTCTCTCCAACTTTCCAGCCTTGTTTGCTAGTCTAACACTCTCTGGAGGTGAAGGCACAAAGATCGGAATTCAAGGCCTTTAGGGCCACACCGGGCCTCGCCCCCCCGCCCCCCCCCCCCCCCGTCCCGCCTCCTACTTTCTGGGTTCCACTTCCTCCGCCTACTTTCTGCTCTCTCCAACCTCTCTAGACCATCGGCCCCGCCCGCATGATTGGCTCCGCCCCCTGAGATCTGACCCGCCCCTCCTCTGAGGTTCTGGCTCCGCCTACTCAGGGCTAAACCGCCGGACGCCTAAGCTAGGATTTACTCGGGCAGAGTCTTGGGAGGACACCATGCAGTGCCTGGGGGTCCCGAGCTGCAGGCGGCGAAGCGTGAGCCGCTCCCGGGAGCTCTACCTGCAGGAGCAGAGTCGCAAAGTGGCTGCGCTCAATGGTCAGAGGCTGGGTAAGGGATGCTGGGGACACTGAGAGCTTACTGTGGGAAATGGGACAGCAGCTGGAATAGGACGCTCCTCCCCTGAGCCTTGGATTAGACTGTTTAGTTCTACGGGGCTGTGTTTTCAGAGTGCGAGCGTGGAGCGAGGACGGGGGGGGGGGGGGGGGGGGGACACGACCAGATACCCTTTCTCAAGCAAACCGATCTTCATGCTCCCTTCTGATTACAGATTAATCCCTGAGTGTGTGACTCTCTTAGAGCTGGACCAATGAGGTCCAGTATGAGGGTGGCAAATGTGTACCAGGACAGGTGACAGTTCGTGACCCCAGGCGAGTGATTCTGTCATACTTGTGGTATTGTGATACCATAGTATGGGGGTGATAGTTTGTCATGTTGTGTAGCCAAGTGTGACATTGTGGTACTAAGGTGTCTGTGTGCAGCCCTGTGTGACAGTGTGCCCCTGACAGTGAGTGACCTAAGCTGATGGCTTGGCTGCCATTCTACGTTATGGTGTGGGTTTTCTGATTCGGTTACCTGGTGGCTCTGTGTCTGAGTGGTGGCCGCGTGTTCCCTAGCTCTCATCCTGCGAGCAGGCTTCCTACTTGTGAGTCCCAACTCCTCCGTGCAGCTTCCTTCAGCCTTGATTTCCTCATCTGTAAAATGGGGATAATGATACGACTGCCATTCTTCACGGAGTTGCTGAGGGGATGTCCTATGAACAGTATCTTATTCCAATATTAGCCATCATTATGGCGGCTGCTGTTATTATGGTGGCAGCATTCCCACGCTGTGTGTGAAAGACACCCACTCCGTGAGACACAGGTAGTGTGGGGGGGCACCGTGTCCCTGGGTGCGAGGTCATGTCTGTGAGTCTGTGGTTGTAAATCTCAGTGCATGTCTCCATGTGGCTGTGTACTGATGTGGGTTCCAGGCCCAATACTGTCTTCATGCACCATGTTGGAAACACGGACAGAATGCCAGGCATTCCCACTGGCACCTGTAGTGCCCTCCATGTCCTCTATACCGGTCGCTTCCCTAGTGGGCAGCTAGCCTGGAAACGGTTGGTGAAACCCCTGAGCTCATAGCCCACCCGCCCTTCCAAGGCTGAGTGAGTGGAGCTGGGTGAAGGCTTCCCACACTCTCTGCCTGAGAAGACAAGAGGGTCCTGTGTAGGCCACCCAGAGGCCTCAGAATCAGGAAACCCTTCCCACTCCATGGAGGTCCCTGCCCAGTTTTCCCAGTTCCCGGAGGATGGTAGCTGTCGCCCTGCTGGAGTTATCTGGGTCCACTTGGGACTCAGATCCACCTCCGGGAAGCAGGACATCAGTGGGAGCTTATCATATCTGACCTCGCATACAGGTCCACAGCTGGCCCCAGGACAGGATGAACTTGTCATCTCTTCATGGTGTTTTCCAGAGCGAGAGGGTAGGGGGCTTGCCTTCCACTTCCCAGCAGCCCCCATTCCCATCTGAGCTGTTAGCAGGAGCTTGCTTAGCTGTGTCCAGCTTGGGGGGAAGGCTGCTGCCAGATGGTCAGGAGGGGCTCCTCCTAATTATACCTTAGCCTCAGAAGAGACAGTGGGCTCTTCCCAGCAGAGGCCAGAGGTGGCCCTCTGCTCTGACTGTCTGGAAACTCCCTAACCTTCCCTCCACATAGAACATTCTGTGTGAGGTCCTTCTCTTCTTCCAGATCCCCCACACTGAGAGGAAGCCGCCCATACTGAGGTAGAGCATCTTCTAGCAATGGGTGGACACATGGAACAAGGGTGGTGGCATGTGGCATGACTGTCCTCCCTAAGGACTGGCGATAATGCTGTTCTTACCCCAGGACTGAGGAGGGAGCCCACAGGGAGGAAAGGAGGTCAGGGACGACGGGGCCAGGGATGGTGGCCCTGGAATCTTCCCTCAGTGGAAGTAGAAAGCTGGTGAGGGATAAGGTGGGTGAGTGAGGCCCGTCCATATAGGCTTCTAGGCAATGTGTAGAAGGTAAGAGGGGGCGGCATGGATGAACTGGGAGGGGCTGTCATGGGTGGAGGGTGTGGGCTCAGGAAAGAAGCCTGTGACTGACTTTGGGAGGACTAGAAGCCTAGGCCTAGGCCCTGGTCCAAAACAGGACAGTAGGAGTCTTTGATGCCACTTTTCTGTTGGTCACATAGTTTTAGGGACATAATTAGGTGTCCATCTGGCTTTGGATAGATCTGGCTATAGAGCTGTGTAGGACATAAACGTGTATCTATCTCTCTATCGCACTGAGAGTTATTAAGGCACACGGTGTTTCCTTTGTCATCATCAGTGCAGGATCTGTTTGCAGACGATGACTCCGGAGGGGCCTGGTGTCCTTCTGGGTCTGTCAAGGGAGAGGTCCGTGACTGAGGTCAAGCCCGCATCTCTGCAGGGACCAGGCAAGCGGGCAGAGTTCTGTCCCTGTGGACCCGTCTCAGCTTCTGAAAAGACTGAGCTCTGTCTTAAAGCAACTGTTCCCTGAAGGAGCCCAGACCCAGGGCACGCAGTAGTTGGCGGTCCGGTAGGAAAGGCCGGGCCGTCCTAGCCGGCTAAACGTAGTCCACGGTGGGCTCATCATTCTCTTCTGGGGCAAAGATAGGAACAGGGAAGAGGGTGGTTGGAGTAGCAGAGGCCCAGGGATCCCGTCGCAGTAAATCATGAAGTCACCAGGTCACACAAACAGCTAGTCAGGAAGTGTGCTGGAACCCAGGGACAGATAACGTTGGAGCCATTGGAGATGCGAGGTTGTTTGGCTCTGAAGGCCTGGGTTCATTTCCAGCTGTGTGGTCTCTGTGTGGTCCCTCTACTTCCTCTTTTAGTGCCCGCTCCCTTCATCTCCCTCGGAGCCAGGCCGCTTCCCGGGTCCCCCAGGAAGCACAGGTTTCTGAACGCCGCTCATTCAGATTTTCGACAAGTCACAGTGTCTGTATGGTCGGGCAGAGAGTGCAGCACAGTAGTCAGACGCTGTGCACAGATGCCCTGGGCTCAATCCATACCCAGTGCTGGGCAAAAGCATAATCTTCAGTGGGTAACAGTCTTCCCTGATGGAGGCAAGGGTCTGGGCTGGCTGGCGGGGTCAAGGGGGGACAAATGTATTACTTGAGAAGGGTGAGGTTGGCAGAAGTGGGTTCTGAGGGGGCAGAGAGGGACAATAAGAGGGTCACGGGTAGAGAAAGCCGCTTCTCACCAGTACTGACTCTCCCAGGGCTGCAGGATGACCAGGACCTCCAGGCCCTTCTGAAAGGCAGCCAGCTCCTGAAGGTCAAGTCCAGCTCGTGGCGGAGAGAACGGTTCTACAAGCTACAAGAGGACTGTAAGACCATCTGGCAGGAGTCCCGCAAGGTCATGAGGTCCCCAGAGTCCCAGCTGTGTGAGTGCCCTGGGTCTTGTGGCGGGGGTGGCATAGGGTGGAGGCCGGTCATGGATCGTGACCACAGGTGGGCCACGCCCGAAATAAGGACCAAAAAGAAGAAACTTAGGCTGGTTGGGGTCAAGGAAATATTCGAGTTCAGTTGTTTGTTGGGAAAATGAGGTTAGGTTGGCCACAGAGGGTACTCATGGGTATTTAACGAGGGTGAAGATATATGACCATGGCTACAGATGGGGACAGCCATGCTCAGAAGCTACCGTGGAGCTGGGCAGGTTTGTTTGAACGTGTAGGTGCCACCCAGGTCGTTGTAAATGAGAGAAAAGTGGTGAATCAGCACTCCAGGCATGTTGGGGCCAAGAGCGGGGCCCAAAGTCCGGGGACAGATAAGGTACTTCCATATCAGTGGCCTTAGGTGGGGCTCAGGACGCTGAATCTCTCCTGGAACTAGAGCCGTGGGAGGCTTGGGTGGAGCAGGGGAGGGAAAGAGAAAGTGAGAGTGAGCGGGGCCAGGCACTGTCTTTCCAGAAGGTTCTCAATGGCCTGGGTACCCAAAGCTGAGGGGATGGGTGTACAAAAGGAGAGCCTCCGGAGACCTTGGGGGTAGCTCTGCAGACACGCCCTTCAGTGCGCACTCCCTGAAAGTTCTATACGAGATGCCCCGTGCAGAGACCAGTGCCAGCGGTGGAACCCCACAACAGTGGACGGCTGCACTGTCCAGTATGGGGGCCATCAGCTCCTAGAGGCCAGGGGGCTCTAGACTTGTGGCAGCCGTGACTGAGGAACCCCTGTTTCACTTTATACCCACAAATGTAGGGTTTTGTGGGATTTTTGTTTGCTGTTCTGAAAAACACTGTTGACTAGGCTGGCCTTGAACTCAGAGTTGGGCGTGCCTCCACTGGAATTAAAGGCACGTGCCACCACGCCTAGTGTTTGTTTGCTTGTTTGTTTTTAAGGACGGGATCTCACACAGACTGAGCTAGCTTTGAACTTACTGCTGCAGCTGAGGAAGGCAGTCCTACCCTTGCTATGGGTGAATTCCTGACGCTTTGCAGTATACTCCCAAGTGCTCAGTTAGAGGATGGGACTTGGAAGTGTCTCAGAAATTACTCTCAGAGCCTGGCAGTGGTGGCGCACGCCTTTAATCCCAGCAAAAGGAGGCAGATCTCTGTGAGTTCAAGGCCAGCCTGGTCTACAAGAGCTAGTTTCAGGACAGGCTCCAAAGCTACAGAGAAACCCTGTCTCAGAAAACCAAAATAAATAAATAAATAAATAAATAAATAAAGTAAAATAAAAAATAAAAATAAAAAAATAAATTACTCTGAGAGAAATTACTCTGAGAGCTGGGCTGTAGTTCATTTGGTAGAACACTGGTCTAGCATAAATGAAGCCCTGGGTTCAATTCCCAGCACTCCATACACTGGGTGTGGTAGCAGCTGCCTGTAATCTTAGTATTGGGAGGGAAAGGCAGGAAGATCAGAAGTTCAAGTCACCCTTGTCTGCACAGTTTAGGACCGTGAATTCACAAAAACAAAAACAAAAGAAGACCACCTTGAGACTCTGCCCCGGCCCAGCTAAGGCCTCCCAGCACAGGAGTGACCCCTGACCATGCCTGTGTCTGTGGCGCCAGACAGGCTCCTACATTGGTCTCCTGTCCTGATACAGGGTTTCCTGTTAGCTACTGGTGGATGGGGGCGTGGTGGGAACAGAGGACTTTCATTGGAAAGTGGATACATATGAATTGCTTGCCTCTGTTGGGGATGGGTAGGGAAGAGGCAGGAAAAAAGAGAAGGCCCCTCCCTATGCCCTTTCAACAGCAGGAGCCCAGGGGACTCTCTGAGAGGCTTGCTTCGAGGACTGCCACAGTCCCATGCTTAGCAGGCCTTCTTTGCACTTCTTTTCTTTCCAGGCAAGAATTGAGGTTCTTGTCCCCAGTGGCACCTTACCCTGGGGAAACTGAGTCCAGATGACAGAGGAGTAGTACATTCCCCCATTTCTCTCTCTGTCTATGCTAAGTCTCCCCAGGCTCCCCTACAGCTCACCCATTGTTCCCAGGAATCTTATCAGCAGCGAAGGCAGCTGGCCTTTCTCTGGGGGGGCCAGTGGAGGTGTGGGCCTGGGGGCTCCGTGACCCAGGCTTCCGGTTTTCTTTTCTGGCCTAGGGCAGCTCAGCTGCCTAGTGGGGCAAAGAAGGGTTAACTAAGGATGTGTTCTACATCCCAGATGCTACAGGGGTCACGTGTCCCAGGGTTCAGAGCCTATGGCCCAGGCACACATGTGGTCCTGTAGGTGTGTGGGAGGCCCCTGGGGCCTCGGGGTAGGCAGAGTTTGGGGAAGGACACGAAGATGTACAGATAGGCCCATTCTAGGACCCAGAATGACAGTACACTGTGGAAAGGCTGGCGGGTACAGGCTGTAGCAGGCACACTGGGAAGGCAGTGTCTAAGGTCTTGTTTGTCCCTGAAGCTTGTAAGACTGGCTGTGCTGGGGGGAGGGGGAAGCTCACCAGCCTCCTAAGAGCAGAATGACGTCATCTCTAAGACCCGAGGAGAACATGATGAGCCCACTGTGTCTAACCTGCTGGGATGGTCCTCCCTCTTCTTGCCTGCTCCTTACTGCTGAGGCCCCTAGATCTGGGATCCCTCAGAGTATGGTAGCTCTAACGCAGGGCTCAATCTTTTCACGAGCTGAGACAAGCCCAGGAGGACAGAACTCTGCCTCCTCTTTATCCCCCTCCTGCCTGCTCTTAGTGATGCAGACTGGCCTCTACTCTGCCTCTTGGGACCCTGAGGCCTTTCTACACCCTTCTGCCAGAGGGCTCCCTGAAGCCAGAGCTCACAGGGTAAATACATCAGTTTTCTCTCTGACTTTGGGCTTCTGTTCTCTGACCCCAGGGCCAGGACTGACCAAGAGTGGCCACTCATCTACTAAGTGGTCAGTAGAGGGGCCAGGAGGCTCTCATGCTGGGGCCCCAAAGTCCAGCTTGGCCTGAAGGGTGCATGACCTCTCTCTCATCAAAGATGCCAAGCTCCAGAATGGTCTCACCCTAAGAGGCCTGTTCTGTATAATCTTCTCCTACTACCTGATTCCTTACTAGGACCATGGACCTAGGTCCTCGCTGCCCATCCTATCCTAAGATGTCTGTCTTCAGATCTCCCTGCGTGTTCCCACTCTGCCACTGTTGACTGTCTTGTGCCCTGCCTGTATTGTGTCTTTATTTATTGTTCTCCACACTCTGCCCTTCTGCCTGGACCCTCAGTCTGAGCCCCTAGTCTGGCTGTGACAATGAGACACTAGGTTGTGCTCTTTGCCCTGCTTGGCTGTGTCAGAGACAGTTGTTCATCTCACGGTCTGTTCCACTGTTACCCCCCGCCCCCGCCCCCGCAGTCTCCATTGAGGACATTCAGGAGGTACGGATGGGGCACCGCACCGAAGGCCTGGAGAAGTTTGCCCGTGACATACCTGAAGACCGCTGCTTCTCCATCGTCTTCAAGGACCAGCGCAATACACTAGACCTCATTGCCCCGTCATCGGCTGACGCGCAGCACTGGGTGCAGGGCCTGCGTAAGATCATCCATCACTCCGGCTCCATGGACCAGCGTCAGAAGCTACAGCAGTATCCTCTTGGGCAGGGCGTCCTGGCTGGGTGTGGAATGTGTGGCGGTCAGTTTAGAGCCGCTGTCACTAAACACGAGAATGTATTAGTTACTTTTCTGGTTGCTGTGATACTTGATAAAAACAAATCAGGAGGGAGGGCTTATTACGGTTTGAGAGAATGCTGTCAGTCAAGGTGGAGAGGCATGGCTGCCGCAGTGTAATACAGGTAGTTACATTGTGTCTGCAGTCAGGAAGCAGAGGGGAGGGGACCCCAGTTCAGTTTCCAGCACCCAGGTCAGCTAACTCGCAATGGTCTGTAGTTTTAGCTCCAGGGAACCTGATACCTCTGACTTCTGAAGGGTATCTACACACACACACACACAGACACACACACACACACACACACACACACACACACACCATAAAAACCCTCTTATTTAAAGCCAGATATGGTGAACATTCTTGTAATCTCAGCACTGCATAGCGGACAGGTGGGTCCCCAAGTCTTCCTGGCCAACAGGCCGAGACTAAAACGTGAATTCCAGGCCACTGAGAGATCTTGTCTCAGAAGACAAGGTAGACAGCGCCTGAGGACCAGAGCCCGTGGTTGGCTTTTGATCTCCACATAAGCATGTGTGCGTCTGCACCCACGTGGACAGACATACGTGCACGTACAATTGCTGAGCCGATGCAGTGTGTGTTCACGTATTTACACTTGTGCTGCCTCCCCACCGTCATTTTTTGAACAGCTCCATTCTCCTCCCCGCCCCTGGGGGAAAAAAATAGCATTAGTGAGTCTCTCATATTTTCTCCCGACACCAGACCTAGAAGCCTCCATCTGTTCTCTGTCCTCGGAGGATTTGCCATATAAGCTGAGCCCGCAGCTGCTCCCTAACAGCGTCTTACTCCTAGTGTGTGTGAGCATTCCTTCACCCTGTAGTGTGGATCTGCACTTTGTACTTTCCGGCTTCCTAAAAGTACCCCACTGTATGGCTACACTGTATCCTGTAACTCCTAACTTACCAGTTAATGGACGCCTGAGTGGCTTCTTCTTTAGGACTCTACTCAGTGGCAAAAGCTAGCACATGTTTTGTGTGACTATGTTTCCATTTCACTCGAGTACACACTAGAAGCAGAATTGCTAGGTTATATGGTAACTTTTATGTTTAGCTTTTTAAAAATAGATTTTATTTTTATCATTTTAAGTATATGGGTGTTTTGCCTACATGTATGTCTGTGTACCATGTCCATGCCTGGTGCCCGAGGAGACCAGAATGTCGATCCCTCGAAACTGGAGTTACACACAATCATGAGCCGTCATGTGGATTATTAAGGAATTAAACCCCAGATCCTCTGGGAAAGCAGTCAGTGCTCTTAACCACTGAGCCATTTCTCCAGCCCCTTGTTCTAGTTTTAATCATGTGTCTGTCTGTGCGTGTGCGCATATGTCCATTAGTGTGCAATGCCTGCAGAGGTTGGGGGAGGACCCGACAGCTCAGTTATAAGCCGTTGTAAAAAAAAGCCAAAGTAGGTACAAAGAACTGAACTCTGGGCTCTAGCCATTCTCTCCAGCTCCATGCTTGACCCTTTTGAAAACCTGCCAAACCATTTCCCAAAGGAAGTCCAGCGGTTTAGATCCCACCTGCAGTGGGGGAGGGGTCGCATTTTTCCATCAATCGCAGCATTAGTTTCTCGTCTTTCTCTCTTGTTATAGACACTGTCTCGGATGTGAAGTAAATCTCTGATTAACTTTCTGTTCTGTGGTGTGTGGTATGAGGTAGGAAATCTATTTCTTTTCTGTTTGCATTTGGATATCCAGCACTGTTTTCTGGGACTTATTTTTCGGTTATTTTTTATTGTATAACTTATTTATTGTGTGTTTGCATGTTTGTCTCCTAGTGCGTGTGGCGGTCAGAGGATAACTTGCAGGAGTTGGTTCTCTTCTTCTACCATATGGGTCCTGGGGATCAAATTCAGTTATCGGGGATCACCTCGTGGTCCTGAAAATAGGATTCTGTTGAATATTCCCACTGAATCGTCCATTGACTGCAAAAGTGGGTATTTATTCTGGACTTAGTTCTATTCCATGTGTCTGTTTGTCTGTCCTTTCGGGCACTGTCCTTGTACCATACTCTTAGCTCCCGTGACTTTGTAGTAAGCTTCCGAACCAGGAAGTGTGAATTGTCCAAGTCTGTCCTTTGTTTTGCAAGATTGGTTTGGTTGCTCTGGGTCCCTTGACTTCCGACCCATATTTTAAGATCTATTTGTCAGTTTCTTGCAAAGAAACCAACAGCATTTGATAAGGATCATAGACTGATTAATTTGGAGACCTCTCTGCATGGAAATGTTTTCTGACCCATGATCATGGATAGATGTCTTTACATTTGATTATTCCTTTTTCTATTTGTTGAAGATTCTCTCTCTCTCCCTTTGTGTGTGTCTGTGTGTGTGTGCGTGTGCGTGCATACGTGTGTGTCTGTTGGGGTTGTAGGTAGTTGTGAGCCATCTGGAGGATGGTAGCATTCCAGTCCTGGTCCTCTGCAAGAACAGCATTCTGTTGAATGTTCCCACAATCTTGTGTGCTGAACCATCTTTCCAGCCCCTAGTCTTTATCCATTTCTTTTAACAGTGTCATGCGACTTACAGAATTTTAAGTTTTATACTTAAAAAAAATTATTTCAGCTGGACGGTGGTGGCATTCCAGGATAGACTCCAAAGCTACAGAGAAACCCTGTCTCAAAAGAAAAAAATCATTTCAAGCTGGGTGGTGATGGCGCACACCTTTAATCCCAGCACTTGCAAGGCAGAGGCAGGCAGATCTCTCTGAGTTCAAGGCCAGCCTGGTCTACAGAGTGAGTTCCAGGATAGACTCCAAAGCTACAGAGAAACCCTGTCTCGAAAAACCAAAAATAAATAAATAATAATTTTAATTATTTTGGTGCTATTGTAAGTTGAATTGCTTCTTAGATTATTATTATTATTTTGATTTTTGAGACAGGGTTTCTCCATGTAGCCCTGGCTGTCCTGGAGCTCACTCTGTAGACCAGGCTGGTTTTGAACTCACAGCGATCTTCCTGCCTCTGCCTTCCGAGTGCTGGGATTAGAGGTGTGCACCATTACCACCACCCAGCACTTCTTAGATTGTTGTTGTTTGGTTTTGGTTTTGATTTGTCTGTTTGGCGACAGTCTCTTATTAGCCCAGGCTACCCTGGAGTTGACTGGGTTTCTGTCGGCTATCTCCACTTTCTGATCAGTGGCTGGGAATTTGTGTTTCTGTGTGTTAACCCTCAGGCACCAGGGCAGGCTGACTGATGGTTTGAGAAACTGGGGGAACCGCATTGCAGTGACATCAGCCCTGGGAGAGATGGTCCCATCAGGTGGGGAGCGAATGGCTGATTTCCTTCTCTGTAGTCCAAATTGTCTACAGTGAGGCTTTTTATGGTGATTATTTCAGATATCATCAGGTTTTAGAATGAGCAAACAGAAAAAGACCTCTATCTGGGCCTAGTGGTACTCCGAGTGTAATCCAAGCTACTCAGGAAGCTGAGGCAGGAGGATTACAAGTTCAAGACCTAACTGAACTAAAGAGTGAGTTTACAGTCACTCTGGGTAATTTCGGGAACTCCTGATTTAACACACAAAGAGGACTGAGGTGGAGTACTGTGTAAGACCCCGCCTTCAGTCCCTCGTAGCAAACAAACCAGAGCAAGAAAAGGAGGGGAAAAGACACCGTAAGGAAGGCCTCGGGTTCCTGCTTCCTGGTCTTCTGGCCTGCAGGACACTGGGCCACAGGCAGCTGCGGCTTCATGTGGCTGGGACCCTGTGGGCATCAGGCTGCTGTGTGTTTTCCTGACGGCTTGCCCAGCTGGATTCACTCCTGCTTGCGAAAAGCTGACAAAAACAAGGACAACAAAATGAACTTCAAGGAACTGAAGGATTTCTTGAAGGAACTCAACATACAGGTGGACGACAGCTATGCCAGGAAGATCTTCAGGGTGAGCTGGCCAGGTGGCTGCGGGGCCTCGGTCCTGGTCGGGGCCGGGTCTGAGCCCAGTCTGAGCCCGTGCTCTGCCCTGGCTTTGCAGGAATGTGACCACTCCCAGACAGACTCGCTGGAGGACGAGGAGATTGAGACCTTCTACAAGATGCTGACCCAGCGCGCTGAGATCGACTGCGTCTTTGCCGAGGCTGCAGGATCAGCGGAGACCCTGTCGGTGGAAAAGCTCGTCACGTTCCTGCAGCATCAGCAGCGGGAGGAGGCTGCAGGGCCAGCACTGGCCCTCTCCCTCATTGAGCGCTACGAACCCAGTGAGACTGGTGAGGGCCCAGCCATCCTGGAGCCACATGACTGGGAGACTCTGATGGAACTGCAGACAGACAGACAGACGTGCTGCAGGGAGCCAGCCCCAGGGTCGCTGATCAGTGTGTGACTCTCCTGTGTAAGCAGGTGCATGGGAGAGAGAGCCCCAGTGTTTGTCCCGTCTGGGCCTCACTTCCCTTCAGTTCCTCTGCAGGGGCATTGAGTGTCCCTATCCCAAGACCTAAGTGCCTGGGAAGCCAGGGTCATTGTTACTTCCCTCTTTGAGTCTATCCTGCATCAGCATTGAGTCATGACCTAGAGAAGACACAGCGCTGCTTAGCAGGCCAGCCTGTCAGCATAGTGAGACCCGTCTTGAAGTGTAGTGTTAAAGAGGACTGGGAATACCGCTCAGTGGTAGTGTGAAAGACCCTGCAGGCAACTCTGGGGACTCGGAGGCGATGTCACCCAGAAGGGAAGGAAGGGAAAGAGGGCCTCACCCCACTGTGACCACAATCTCACTGGGAGCCCAGGACGTCTCCTCCCCAGAGCTGCAGCTCACCAGCTGAAGGCGGGTGGGCAGGCAGAGTGGAGAAGAGACTTCTCTCCACAGCGGCAGGCAACTGTCTCTGACTGGAAATGGTGGCTTCTTCCTACCTAGCCAAGGCGCAGCGGCAGATGACCAAGGACGGCTTCCTCATGTACTTGCTGTCCGCCGATGGCAGCGCCTTCAACCTGGCGCACCGCCGTGTCTACCAGGATATGGGCCAGCCACTCAGCCACTACTTAGTGTCTTCTTCCCACAACACCTACCTGCTGGAAGACCAGCTCAGAGGGCCCAGCAGCACGGAGGCCTACATCCGGTGCGGTCCAGGGGTGGAGCTGTTAGGGGCGGGGCAGGGTAGGATCCAGGACAGGATCTAGAGGGTCCTAGCCCAGCTGTCACCACCCCCTGCAGGGCTCTGTGCAAAGGCTGTCGCTGCTTGGAACTTGACTGCTGGGATGGTCCCAATCAGGAACCTATCATCTACCACGGCTACACTTTCACCTCCAAGATTCTTTTCTGTGACGTGCTCAGGGCCATCCGGGACTATGCCTTCAAGGTTGGGCGTGCCCATGGGAGTGAGGAGAGGCCACTAGGGGTGGACAATCATCTAACTCATCTTGGGGCTTCTAGGCATCCCCCTACCCCGTCATCCTGTCCCTGGAGAACCACTGCAGTCTGGAGCAGCAGCGAGTGATGGCGCTTCACCTGAAGGCTATCCTGGGGCCCATGCTGTTGGACCAGCCCCTGGAGGGGGTTACCATGAGCTTGCCTTCCCCTGAGGTACCGAGTGGGTACCCTGAAGGCAGGGAAGGGAACCTGGCTGGGAGGCCTATGTGAATCCTCACCAGGGAGTTGTTTATCCCCAGCAACTGAAGGGCAAGATCCTGCTGAAAGGGAAGAAGTTTGGAGGGCTGCTTCCTGCTGGAGGGGAAAACGGGCCTGAGGCCACTGATGTGTCCGACGAAGATGAAGCCGCGGAAATGGAGGACGAGACCGTGCGGAACCAAGTGCAGCAGAAGCCCAAGGTTCTAGGGGAAGCTGTGGAGGTGGGGTGGCCCCAGGTCCGTCCCTCTCCCATTGCCCATGGGAGGTTTGCCTTGTCTTAGATTTTCTGTGGCTGCCATTCAGACCTTCTGCCCCCTCTCTCTGTCTGTCTCCTCTCTCTCTCTCTGTTGTCTGGGTTTCTGGCGCTCAGTGCCCACCTTGTCCTACCCTGTGGCTCTAACCTGGGCCTCCCCGTGGCCTCCAGGAGGATAAGCTAAAGCTGGCGCCGGAGCTCTCTGACATGGTCGTTTACTGCAAGAGTGTCCACTTTGGTGGCTTCTCCAATCCTAGCACCTACGGGCAGGCATTCTATGAGATGGCTTCCTTCTCTGAGAACCGTGCCCTCCGGCTGCTCCAGGAGTCAGGTGAGCACCTGTTCTTGCAGGCATATGAACCTGGCCATCTGGACTGGTCTAGACCGGGGCTACCCTCCACCCTTGTCGGGGCCCTAAGCTAGCACTCCCTGCTTTATGCCCGGACAGAACTGGTGAGGTGGGGTGGGGTGGGGTGGGTAGGTGTGTCTTTAGCCCACCAAGGCCTTCACTGCTGACCCCACCTTTCCTCAGGAAATAGTTTTGTCCGCCACAACGTGAACCACCTGAGCAGGATCTACCCAGCTGGGAGAAGAACAGACTCCTCCAACTACAGTCCTGTGGAGATGTGGAATGGGGGCTGCCAGATTGGTACGGACCAGCTGGGATGGACGGTGGGGGGGGGGTTAGAAAGAGCACCTGACCTTGATGTCCAGTGGCCTAGAGCCCTGAAGGTCACAGGATAAAGGTCTGAGGACCTGAGAATGTTTGGGTGCCAACCAAGAGCTGAGCATGGAACTTGCCCAGCCAGCAAGTCTGTGCCCGAAATGGAGCAGGTAGTTCAGCCGTTGACGTGCTTGCCTGGCTTGCAGGACGTCATCCTGGGTTCAAAACTCTGCACTGCAGAGAACAGGAGTGGTATCATGCATCCTCCCAGCCTTTTTGAGGAGGAGGCAGGGATGGGGTAGGGTAGGTGGGTTAGGAGCTCAAGGTCTTCCTTGGCCGCATAGTGAATTCAAAGCCAGACTGGGCTACAGGAGATGCTGCCTCAAAACCCAACAAAACAGGCTGGGGAAATGACTCAGTCAGCTAAACGTTTGCCATCCAAACAGTACTGACAAGGTCCTTCATTGGGATCCCTACCTATGTAACGTGTCAGGAGTGATGACACACACCGTATACACACTGTACACACACTGTAACCCCAGCACTGAGGAGGCAGAGGTAGGCTGCTCTCTGGAGCTCATGGCCAGCCCGTCTGGTGGATTGGTAAGCTCCAGGTTCCATAGAGACCCTGTCCCCAAAAATAAAGAACGATTGAGAAAGATGTCAGACATTGACCTCTGGCCTCCATGTATGTATAAACACATGCACACAGTCATGTGAACACACACTTATATTACACACACACACAAATAAACAGGACGTGATCAGTGTGATGGGTCAGGTAGGATGATGGGAAGACAGGAGACACTGGAGCATCATTGGATCCTGCTCCCAATGAACGCAGGAACTCGACTATAGTGCATTCTGAACAGGCTGGGCTTCAGGACTCTGGAGCCAGCCTGCAGCTTGTGTATACTCTGATCTACCTGCAGTGGCTCTCAACTTCCAAACCCCTGGGCCAGAGATGGATGTATACCTGGGCCGCTTCCAGGACAATGGAGCTTGTGGGTATGTGCTGAAACCTGCCTTCCTGAGAGACCCCAACACCACCTTCAACTCACGTGCCCTGACTCAGGGGCCCTGGTGGGCTCGGAAGAGGCTCCGTGTCCGGGTATGGCCAGACACAGAAGGGACAGCTGCCTGTGGGGATCTGTCCTGCTCACTGCTGTCTGCAAATGCTCACTGTCCCCACCTTCCCTTAGATCATCTCGGGACAGCAGCTGCCAAAAGTCAACAAGAGCAAGAACTCAATCGTGGACCCCAAGGTGATAGTGGAGATCCACGGTGTGAGCCGGGACGTGGCCAGCCGCCAGACCGCAGTGATTACCAATAATGGTATAGTGTACACTGGCTGGGTTGGGCCAGGCCGATGATGCTGGTGACCTTGCTATTGACATGGTGTTTGTCCTTCTAGGTTTCAACCCCTGGTGGGACACGGAGTTTGAGTTTGAGGTGGCCGTGCCTGACCTTGCCCTTGTACGCTTTGTAGTAGAGGACTACGATGCCTCCTCCAAGAACGACTTTATTGGCCAGAGTACTATCCCCTGGAGCAGCCTCAAGCAGGGTGAGTGTTGGCGGGAAGGGGCCAGCCAGCAGCAGCGGGCAGGTCCTGGCTTCCCCCAGCCTGCAGATCACTCCGCCTGGAGCATCTTCTTCCAGTGACCAGAACTGTCCTTCCCACCAGGGTACCGCCACGTCCACCTCTTGTCTAAGAACGGAGACCAGCATCCGTCAGCCACGCTGTTTGTGAAGATCTCCCTCCAGGACTAAGCCTGGGGATGGGTGAGGTCCACTCTGAGTGGGCCACGCTGTGTCCACCCCCGGGGCAAGGCTGGCATTGTTGCACCGACTTCTGATGTGGAGTGCGAGGGCCTGAACTGCCTTTAGCTCCAATACATCAACTGTGCTTCCTGCCTCTCTGGGGACCCAGGAGCAGTCCAGTCCCTGGAGTGGCCAGACTTCCGTTAGGAACAACATTGCAGCCCTCCCCCTAGCTGTCTGTAGGTTGTTAGTTTTTATAAAAATCACTAGGTAAAGCCTTAGAGTCTTTTTACATAGACACCAGAGACTCCGTCAAGGCCTCATGCACACCCCTTCCCGCCATCATGGGGTCATCTGGAGTGAGCAGGCGGAAGGAGCCCTTTCCACCCAGGAGGGTATTACCCAGAGTGCCACAGGGCCCTGCTGCCGAGAAGGTGAAGGCACACAGGCCACACCTGACACCAACCAACTGGCTTTTTATTAGGAACGGGGAGGTATTCAAGGAGACTCGGGGTGTGGCGAGCAGGGCTCCCCCAGCTCAGAAGAAACCCAGCTTCTTTTTCTCTTGCTGCTGCTTCCACTTGGCCATGCTGTAGAACTCCTCCTTGGATTTCCCAAAGATGTCTTGAAAGTCAGAGTCTGAGAGATAGAACTGGGGGAGGGGGTAGGAGTGGCGGTGGGAGGGACAGGATTCCTGTGCCACCCAGAGGTGTGATCCATCCACACTTCTCCAATCTGCCCACTGCCTGTCTGTGACCACTACCAGGGGGGCAGGGTACCCGGGGCCCCTCCAGTGCAGAGTTAGGTCGCAGGCCAGTGCTGACAACAGCGTCTGGTACCTACCTCCTTGCGGGCAGGATCCACTCCCTGTGGCAGGTCCTCCACGGCCTGGTGCATCAGCCTTTCCCGAGGCAGGCTCCCATTGGCTGCTGAGCTGCTGCAGCCCTCGCTAGGGCTTTTGCTGGGGTTCTTGCCATCCACTCTGTGGCCCAGCTTTAGATCATTCTCTGGGCTTTCCTGGGAACTCTTGAAGGCCAGTAGGGTCAAGGGACCTGCCTTGTTGTCACCCGGCCCTCGAGTTAGCTGGAAGTTATGTACTTCCTGTCCAGAGAAAAGCTCACAGAAGATGGAGGACTGGAGCCCACTAAAGATCACATTGAACCCACAGACCTCTTGGCACCATCTGAACCCAGACCACTATGTGGGGCCTCCAGGAAAACTGCTGGACACTTACTGCTGTTATCTCAGAGATGGCAGATGCTGGGCCCAGGCTTCCTTCCACAACCTCCTCATAGGACTGGTTGTTCTGGGGGAGGGGGGGCAGGAGTTGGGGCGGGAGTTGGCATAGGACTGGTTGTTCTCAGGGGGCAGAAGTTAGGGCAGGATTGGGGGGACTGGCAAGGGAAGGAGCTCCCTGAAACCCAGGCAGGAGCCTAAAGGACAAGGTCAGGTCTCCCCCTTACTCATGGGAGATCCTCAGCCTGGAGGGGGGGCTCTTACAACGTTCCCCAAGACAAAGATGGGGGAGGGGTGCTAGGCCTCACCATCCACTTGTAGGGGTCCCAGGTGACAAACCACCCAGTGAAGGTGGCAGGCTCATGGCCCTGCTTGACCACAATGATGGGTGTGTCCAGGAGCCTCTCTGCTGGATGAGTCCTCAGGTACTCCCGGCCCCAGGCCACTGCCTCCTTCCTCTGCTCACCTGCTTCTTCCCCAAGCCACAGGAAGATCTGGGCCACAGAGAAAGCCTGGGCTGGGACAGGTGGAGGAACCTCCTCCCGACTCCATGCTGCCAGGTAGCCTCAAAACCCTGCGTGCATATGCCTGGCCAAGAGCACTTGCCCAGCAAGGTGAGATGCTCCCATGCTGTGAACACTTGCCATCACAGGTATGCAAACATGCATCTAATATAAATAGTTACAAAGCACTAGCGTGTGCTAGCAACTAAACACGCAACAGTGAAAGGAATCCAAGTTACTGTCCCCAAACCAGGTAGTGTGGCATGTGTCTGTAATGACGGCACTGGCAAGGTAGAGGCAGGGGGATCAGTTAGTTCAAGGCCATACTTGGCTACCAGAGAGAGTTGGAGGTTAAAAAAAGGGCCTGGGGTTGCTTGCTTAGTCAAGTCCTGGGCTGACACCTAGAGGGGGTGGGCAGGCCCAAAATCCCAGCAGAGTCATAGGCCAGAGGAAGTTCAGGTTACATAGTGAGCTTAAAACCATTCTGGCCTATAGAGATTCTGTCTCAAAAGAAGCAAAGAGTTGGGAAAAATCTCTGCTCTCAGAGTCTTCATGGGAGAGCAGGCCACATGTATGTTTCAGAAGAAAGTGAAGAAGGATCAGGCAGTGCCGAGGCCATAAGCAGGATGTGCCTGGCACGCTTGGGACGGTGAGAGCCACCACGGCTGGAAAAAGGGCAGGAGGTGGAGTCCGGAGATTTGATCAGAGAGCGTTGGCTAGGTAATAGGGGAGCTTGTGAAGTGGGGAAGAGGGGGGAGATGTAGTCTGGGCTTGGGAGCTCAACCTCCTCAGAACTCAGACAATACCACACACAATGACACACAGACACACACAGTGACGTCACATTTGGCTACATACACCATCTCATAGCCACGCAGAATTTCACAGCCCCACACATACAGTTGCTCAGTCACGTCAACAGCCTATCATGTGTCCCTTCTTTCTGTCTCACACAGACACAGGTGCACACACAGGCAGCGCCACCAGCTACAACTGGTCTGGCCGGTTCTGTGTAGTACTGGACCATACAATCGCTGGCATCGTCTACCCAGTCAAATGTGCAGGTTCAGAGAATCATTGCATGTATGCTATTATCCAATCAGTGTTTCCACTTACTCCCATTACCATACAGTCAGTCACAGGCCCTCATGGGGAGTCATACATGGCATCATAGGACACACAGTAATATATACAACACGCAAGGTTATGATCACACACAGCCCAACTCTTGTTCCTAGTATGTTGTGGTCTTCCTATCACACCCAGACTCTCAATCCCTGGCAACAATCAGTCACAGGCTAAGTTCACCTTCACACCCAACTCCACCAATGCGGACACGCCCAGCGTTCCCAGCCCAGCTGAGCTGGAGTGACCGCCTCACCTCCTGACAGGCGTCTAGTAACATGATGTCATACTTGTCCAAGTCCTCTTGGTCAAAGAACACCACTTCCGTGAGGACCAGGCAGCCCGAGGGGCTGGAGCACTCAAACAGTCGGGGCTGGGTGCTGGAGACCTCGGGAAGCCTGGCCAGAGGAGGGGCTGTGAGGGGTGCCATCTGGGCCACACTGGCCCTTGGCATGTGTGCCCCACCCCCACCTCAGGGAAATCCGTCCTCTGGGACAGGAGACCTGGGCTTTCCTCTGGACTCCACCCACCCCTTGGCTTTCTCTGGGAGTGCCTGCTCTGGGCCAGGGCACCTTTCTTTCAGGGGACAAATAGAGAAGGTGACTGAAAGTCTATCAGCCGCTCCATGGATGGGGCAAGGGGACCTGAGACCTGGTGGGGAGAAGCTGAGCTGAGGCCCTGTCCTCCTTAGAACGGGAGTCACCTGCATTCAGTTAAGCCAGGGAGTAGCCTCAGGTCCAGGGTGGGAGGAGGGGAGCAAGTCTAGGAGGGTTGTAGAACATTTAACTATGTAAAGATGCATTACATCTGTGTGTGCTGTGTTTAATTACGTAAAGATGTGTTGCATTTGGTTTCACCTTGCCTGCCTACGGCACCTAATTTGGCCTAATAAAATGCTGGATGGCCAATAGCTAGGCAAAGGAGGAGTAGGAGGGGTTGGTGGGCAGAGAGAATAAGTAGGAGGGGAACTCCAGGCTCAAAAGAGAAGAGAGCTAGGGAGAAAGAAAGGGACGGGGCATGTAGGGGCCAGAAACCAGGCAGCTGCTAGACAGCCAGACACAGGGAAGTAGAACATACAGAAAGAAAGGTAAAAAATCCCGAGGTAAACTGTAGATAAAAAGAAACAGATTAAAATAAGAGCTAAGATAAGGCCATGCATTTATAATTAATAAGAAGTCTCTGTGTCGTGATTTGGGATCTGGTTGGTGGCCCAAAAGAGAGCCTGGTACATGAAAGCCCAGAAGACTTGGGTGGAGGGCAGCGCCCAGGGACCCAGCTCCTTCAGTCCTTGAGTCTTAGTCTGCCCTTACCCCTGGGTTTGTCCTGCTAGGGATTGCCCCTAGAGGTGGTGCAGAAAGAGGATTCTGCCAGCAGAGGGCGCCATTTCTCCATTTGCCCTGGCATTGACCCCATCCAAGTTACCAAGGGCTGGAGACTGCAAGGCAGGTTCCCGTGCCCCTGCAGGTGGAGGATGGTGAGTCCCTCAGTTCTAGGCTTATCTTTCCAGCTCTCTGTGTGATTCATTAGTCACCACCTCCGGGCCTCAGCTCCTCCTCAAGATAAATATTTTCTCCTGTTATCCCATTACCTCTTGTTGCTGGGATAGGGGGCCCGGCCTCCGAGGGCTTCCCAGAAGTGGGGAGGCTCCCGACCCTCCAGCACCGTCTCTGTGTTATTTCCAGCGAAGACAGTGACCACCATCCGCGCCATCTCACGCTGGTCCCCACTACAGCCCTGGCAAGCAGTGGCTGGGTCAAACCCTACAGCAGGCAGGGCTTCACCTCCAGTCCCATGTCCATTCACTGGGGTCTGTGTGGAGCTGGACCTGAGCCAAGGGAGGCCTAAGCTATGCGGGGGACCCCTGTGAGCAAGGCATCTCCCTTTCAGCTGAGTCTCTCTGGGCCCAGAGTGTGGATGAGAGAAACTCAGGTTTGGGAGTCATTTGCGGTTTATGCTAAAGATAAAACAACAATAACAACAACAAAACCCACAAGCAAACAAGACTAGGCCTCTCTCTCTTTCCTAGAGAGACTTGGGGAAAGTCCACAAGCAGGAAGGAAGGCAGCCAGAGCCAGGCTTGCCTCTGCTCGGAGGAACCCCAGTTCACTTGTGAATCAGGGTTCCTGGGCCACTTTACACCACCCACAGAACCATCCCACTGCCTCTATCTAGCTGGGTTTCAAGCCTGCATTCGGGTGGAGGGGATCCCTCTCTGACTCAGCGACACTTTCCCAAGTGGTGATGCACTGGTACCTTCCCAAACCAGAGGTAGCAGACATCTGTTGTGACCAGGAAGAAGATGTCACTGGACATGAGGGAGGAAGCGCGGGCTGGCACCTCCATAGTTCTGGTGTTGAGGCTGTCAGCCCCTTGCATGTGGAACAGCCTCGTGCTGGAGATTGGCGGCCTCTTCCCTCCATTGTCTGCACACCCCTAGAAGAAGGTGGGGGCCCCAGCTGAGGCAAGGGCTCCTGGGAGCAACCTCCCTGCCCTAGAGGTGAACAAACTGCTTCACAGGCTACCACTGTCCTATGGCCCCTTTCAAATTAGATTGTCACCCATTTCAGAGGGCCCAGAGCAAGCTCCTGCCACCATGGTGTGCCACCTCATCTAGGCACAGAACCAACAGAGCCAGGGGTCATGAGACCTCTGAATTGGACCTAAAATGAATCCTTCATTTTTGTGGTTTTTGTTAGATAGATGATGATTGTTATTATTATTGATTATTATTATGAGTACATGCATGTGTACACGTGCTTGCGAAGGTCCTGGGATGTCAGATGTCATTCTCAGGAATGCTCTCCACCTCCTCTGAGATAAGGTCTCTCATGGCCCGGAGCTCACCAGTGACGCTAGACTGGCTGGCCATTGAGCTCCGGGAATCCTCCTGTCTCCACTTCCCCCAGGCTAGAATCACAAGCACACAGTGTCACACCCAGCATCTTTGTGTGGAGGCTAGAGTCACTCACGCCCAGGCTTGCACACCTCTCCAGCCCCCGTGTCAAGGGGAAGTCCAACATGGGCTCTACCTGGAAGACCACCAGCTGTCCCTGGAAGATGGCCAGGAAGTGGGGGGGCTCTCTGCCCATGGTCACATGTGCCTGCACCAGTGCTCCATGGTACATGAGGTCCATCTCCTCAGCATTGCCGTTCAGGGCCTTGGTGTCTTCTATGGTGGTCTGGAGGCCCTGCAGAAGGGAGGGGAACATTAATGGCCTGGGGTTTCCTCTTTCACTCTTAAAGTCTAGGCCTCAGGCTGGAAGGCAGCTGATATCCTGGCAGGTGTGCATACCTGCCATAGGTACAGGATGTACCGGACACTGCCAAGTTTCTTGTATGTGTAGAGGGCAAGGTAGCAGTTTCCTGAGCACAACTGGCCATGGTGCTTGGGGTCCACAGGCTGCCTTTGTAAGTCCTGGATGCACCACACCTGGGGACCGAGGGACCCGTGGGCACAGATGAACCTTACCTGCAGCAGCCTGCCCATCCGCACCCAGCCGGGAAGCTCTCACTGGCTCCTCTGTGTCAGCAAGCGCTTACCCAGTTCTGTGACTTCATGCTTCACATTGGACCTGTGAGTGACCCTTTCCCCCACAGACCTCAGCAACCCCACGCCTTTGCTGGCCTCCCCTCCCCTCAGCACAGATTTAGTTTGCCTTCTGCACCTGGGAAAATAAGCGGAAGACTGGAATCTACACGATGGACCCAGCTCCTGGCCCCTGGCCACCTCCGTCTAGACCCCAATAGCTATGGCCCTGACTAGGGGCAGACAGCACCCAGACAGTACCCCTCCCCCAGGCGCAGAGGTGCTCTGCTCAGGCCAGGAGGGTAGAAGCGAGGCTGAAAGAGAGGCCTTGGCACTCTGGAGGGAAAAATTTCTCTTTTCTTTGTAGTGTCATTGACAGCAACAACAAAACAAACCCCTAAACAACAACAACAAAAAAAAAACCAGGGTTGGGGTGTGATTTAGTTGGTCGAGTGCTTGTCTGGCATGCACAATGTCTTGGAACCCCTTAAAACCAGCATTCTGCCTGTAAGCCTGGCCCTGGGGAAGTGAGGCAGGAGAATCAGAAGTTCAAGGTCAGCCTTGACAGTCTAGTGAGTTTGAGGCCAGCTTGGGCTATGTGAGACCCTGTGTAATAAAACAAACAGAAAACCAGAGACTGCTCAGAGGCTGAAGGGACAGCGCTTGCTCACATTTGTCTGAGTGATGGCTTGTTGCTATGGGAGCCACACCTCAGCTTTAGAACCAGACAGAACTGGTGGAAGTACGGGTCTGTGCAGGCTGGCTCTCCCAAGCCCCAGGCCTTCCCCCCTGTAGCTGGGGATCATAGTGCCAACCCCACTGCGCACCAACCACAGCGCCTGGTGTCCCTGACCCACAAACCCCACCGCACATATGCCAGCCCGGAACCTGCACCTGCTGTTCATTACCCACACAGACTGACAGCGAGCGTCACCAAAGGACCTCCCCTCTAGACCAGGACATCAGAACCCCGTGTTTTTCTGAAAAGACTGCCACAGCCCCAAACCTCCCTAGAGGAACACTGACCTGGGTGGGAGGACTCCCTACTTCCACAGGTCCCTCGCCTTTGTGCTTGGAGCTGATCTCAGACCCCCTTTGCGACTTCCTTGCCATCCTCCCTCTTGCTCTGTACCTCTGCTTATTCCCCAGCCTCCCTCCTGTCTCCTCTCCCCGGGTTTCCTCCATTACCCTGTCTCCTCTCAGTCCGGCTTTCCCAGTCTTCCCGCCCACTCCCTCTGTCTTCTTCTTCTCCCCTCTCCCGTTTCTTCTCCTCTCTCCATCTCTTCTCACCCATCACTTCTGGTCATCCATATAAGGGCAAATGTAGGCAGGACTTCTATTTCCTCTGACCTCAGTTTACCTACAGACTTAGACTCCACTCCCGTCTCCTCACACATAGACACACACAGGTTGAGTAGCCTTGTTCCCTTTCCCAGAGGCTCATAGCATCCCCACATTAGGAGATGCTTGGGGGCCAGATTAGACCATAATCTCTGCGTCCATTTTTTTTAAATTTATTTATTTGTTTGTTTGGTTTTGGTTTTTCGAGACAGGGTTTCTCTATAGCTTTGGAGCCTGTCCTGGAACTAGCTCTTGTAGACCAGGTGTTTATTCTGTATACAGTGTTTTGACTGCATGGCTGCTTGCATACCAGAAGAGGGCGCCACATCTCATTATAGATGACTGTGAGCCACCATGTGCACGCTGGGAATTGAAATCAGGACTTCTAGGAAGAGCAGCCAGTGCTCTTAACCTCTGAGTCATCTCTCCAGCTGAACTTAAAACAGGCTTGAGGGAACTAAGGGTTCTGCCTTAATATGTCCAACAGGTCAGCATGAGAACACTGGACTGAGGCCAAATGAGGGGTTTGTAACAGGTGTGCAGGGTCCGTGATTTATGTGTCTGCACCAGAGTTGGCCACAGGGCATGGTTCATTGTCCAGGTGTTATCCAGCTGTGTGCCTGTGAGTGAGTGTCCATGGTGTGTGCGAGCCAGCTGTTGGAGAGTGGACATGTATGTGTGGGGGTGTTCCTGGGTGGCTTTAGCTATTGAGACAGTGTCTCTTGTCATTCAGCCTGGCCAGCGTGCTGGGTTTGCAGGTGCGACTCCAAGTCAACTGTTCCTCAATCAGCTGTTCTCTGTCCTTGTGTGCATACCCCCACCCCCAAGCCAGTGCCCTCACCTCCACTTGCCCAGAGCCGTCATCCACCATTCTGAGCTGGGCCGCTAGCTCAGGCTGGGTGTGCAGCTTGCTTACATCCAGTTTTGCCTGCATCCGTTTATCTGTGTATGGAGTTTAGAGTCAGTGACATTCCTCAGTGTCCCTGGGCCCAGGCCCTCCTCACCCTTCTCACAGGCCCAGGACACGCCCTCTTTCTGCTCATCCTCCTCCTTTGTTCTGCCCCCTCCAGATTTAGAATCCCCAGCCGCCTCTGGTTCCGTCCAGGTATGCCCATGTCCCAGGCTCCACCCCCGCATCCCCCAGGCTCCACCCCCAGGCTCCAGCCCCTACTCACGGCCCACTCGGTGTTTTTTCCCATCTGGCTCCTTCAACCACGTCTGGAACAGCTGCTGGAAGGCGGTTGACTCTGCACCATCGCTCACCACCTCCACGTTGGTGTAGCTTGGGTAGCCCTTGGCCTGGATGAAGCCCTGGGACACAACTCTGTCAGGCAGGCCTGAGGCCCAAGGACTCTAGGCTGTGTTCAGCCCCCAGAAACATCTGTCAACTGTGGCTACCAAGACATCCAAGCTCTGAACTGCATCAATTAACTAACCATGTGACGCTTTTTACAAGCCGGCTCCCTCGCCACTGATCTTCAGGTCTCTGAGGGTAGGCAGGGGCCCCTTAGTCCAAGCCTGGTGAAGCACTGGCCATGACATACCCTACTGTCCCATAAATCTCCTCTGCCCCAAGTGGAGAGGGCGCTCAGGCCTCAAGGCCAGGCTGAGACCTGCACACGTGACGTCTTGGCTGTCAGGAATCTTCCCCGCCACATAAGGTTTCGGGGGTAGACACACTCACTTCCTGACCCTG